ACTCGCAATAAAATAGATATACTACCCCATCATACATCGCGCACTAGTTATTTTTCAAATAGTTTCTTCGTTGTAGCACCTAAAATTTTTAACCATTTACCTGACAGCCTAAAAGAGTTAAATTATAAAAACTTCAAGACAGCTCTGTGTGAAATTTTAGTCAAAAAATGTTATTACTCCTTAAATGAATATTTACGAGATAAAATTAGTTATTGATGTTATGTTATTTAATTAGTCTAACTAGCCTACCTTAAGTTACAAGATTTTAAAATGTAAGATTGTTACTTGTTCTAAAGTTTGTTAAGTGTATATTGTTTGTTATGTAGTTATAATTATGTTACAACTACGTAACTGTATTTATATGAATATAATATTGTACGCCCAATCGGCTGGTTATAGCGGTTGTATGTAAACATTTAAGATCTGTGTTATTGTATTACCTATAACTAACACAATAAATGATTATTTGATTTGATTTGATTAAAACGAAATTGAAGGTTTTGTTTTTAAAGACATGCTTTCCATTCTAGATTTCCATGATCTCCATGATTTTCATAATTTCCAGACATCCTTTGTAATGTCAGTTCCAGGACGAGTATACTCGTATAAGGTAGTTATAGAGAAATGTATGGATTAAGCGAAACGGACATTCAAATGCAAGGCTCCCAAAGTGGAATCGCATTACGGGTAATACATGCTAGCTTAATGGAAGGGTTGTATTATGCAATCATGCTGAAACAATTAATTTTTATTATTAGTTTGAGTTGCACCAACTTACTTTAATCGTAACTATACCTAACCGTAACCGGTGCATTTTGTATGGAGTTTGACAGATTTTTGATGTTTGTTAAAGTTAAAGTAAGACTGAGTAAAGTAAGTTGCAACTCAAGTCTCAGCCTTTTTAGTCTTTGTACAGTCACGGAATGAAAAGGTTCGTCAGTTTTCAAATTGATTCCTTCAACGAATCGCGAGCACATATTTATTACCTTTTGAAACTATGTTACAGAATAATCTCGAGTTAGAGAAAATAATCTTTAACTGTTCGTCAGTAAAGTTCAAAATTATTCAGATCAAAGTTGTTTGACGATTTATCTTGTCAAGAAGATTATTATGATTGATAAACTAAAACCTTCTTGTTAGTTCAACCTGTCATTATTATTTCTTTTAAATAAAAAAAACTATTGTCAATTGGTCAATGTCATCATTGCATTGCACTGATGGGATAGAAAAATAAACAAGCAAAACCTTATTCGTTAGCAAACGTCATATTTATTTAAATGTTAGCAGCACTGTTTCTTGCACTGTTATGTTGGCAGGTTTGATTCTTACAGTACCTAGTGCAAGCGAAAACCGACACTAAGGTGACGAACCTTTTCATTCCGCGACTGTACTAAATTACGGAGAAATTAAATAGAATCGATGTAATACTGAACCTAATAATAGCATATTTAGATATGCTTGTTTTATTTATCAAAATTGTAGAGCGAAAACTAAAACACATTTTTTTCAATAGTTATAACTTAAAACATTTTTTTATATTCAGTGCATAACAAGAAGAATGCAATAGTCAGGTGATTGACCAAACTAAACCAAAGTAGGTACCGTCAAAATTAATTACACATAGCGGTATCCAATTTCCAAATGAAGAGTACCTACCCAATACAAACTTTGGGAGAACTTTTGAAAAACACTTGCTTTTTTCTTTTAGCTATCGCTCGAAAGATCTCGTTCGACACCAGAATAGTGTCCTGAACTGATTAAGCGGGTAAATATTAAATTAATCAGTGGAATCAGCTCACCGGTGATTGTTTCGGGAAACGGCGGCGTAATTAAGTGTGCGGCCAGAATCACGCATCAGTGTCCTCATTTGTCATTCGGATTTATAGAACAGTAGGAATGCATGAAGGATAATGGGTAGTTTTATTTTACCTATACCAATATATAAAAAGACACTTAATCATCATCATCATTTCAGCCATAGGACGTCCACTGCAGCTGCTGAACATAGGCCTCCTCCAATGATTTCCACAATGGCCGGTTGGTGGCAGCCTGCATCCAGCGCCTTCCCGCTACCTTTATGAGGTCGTAGGTCCACCTTGTGGGTGGATACTTAATACCTACTACCATTACAAATTAAGCCCAAGGCGATAGTGCTAGTCCAAGCATTAGATTGTGCAATTACTTATTTACTACTTTCTAACTAATTACATGTACTTAGTGCAAGTGCAATTTACCCTTAAAAACACAAGCAGATGGCTTTTAAGCTATTTAGCAGTCCCCTTACTAAGACTAGTATTGTACTGAATATTATTTGCGTTGAGTTTTTAAGCTTTGAAGATAAAATTGTAAGCATGACTGCAAAAAACATTTTTGTTTATAAATCTTACTTACTAATCTGATATCTTTATGATCATACAACACTTAAGGAACTACTTTACAATATCATCTCTTAATTATGAAGACGTACCTACTCTATCTTAAGTAAGTAATGGAATAGTTTGAACCCTTAAGCAGTTCTACAGACAGATGATCATCATCATCATCATTATTTCAGCCATTTGCAGTAACATCAAAGAGGGAAAAAGGGGGTAAAGGAGAAAGGGAAACGAGGGCCTTCATCTATCTCTATTATTTATAAATGTAGGTAGAGGCACTTAATGGCAGTACAAGCCTAGTAAATAATCGCCTTTAGATCTAAATATTATCACAGATGGGAGATCAGTCGCCCAGTAAGCGAATGGTTTGATTCCCACCTTAGGTAATTCGATTTTTTCAGGTTATTTTAAAAATGTTGTATAATTTAGATTTACCTTTATCATTCACACTCGAATGCAGATAAGCCAGATAATAAGATACTCTTAATAATCTATACTATAATAATAAATAGCGNATTCTGTACATGAAATATATTTTCAAAATAACTATCAGGGGGTGATTAGTGATCGATACTGATGCCAAAAATGCAATCAGTAAAATTTTTGTCCGTCTGTCTATCTGTCTGTCTGTCTGTCTGTCTGTCTGTCTGTCTGTCTGTCTGTCTGTCTGTATGTTCCTTATAGAAACAAAAACTACTCGACGGATTTTAACGAAACTTGGTACAATTATTCTTCACACTCCTGGGCAGGTTATAGTATACTTAGGAATTTCCACGGGAACGGGAATTAGAGGGAAAATCCTTTTGTATGAAAAATCCAAAACGCTTAAGTTAGACTCTTGAAATTTGGCATAAAGGTACCTTAGTAAACTTAAAGCTTAGTTACAACAGGATATTGCAAAATTCCCACGGGAACGGGAGTTAGTGGGAAAAAACATTTGTATGAAAAAATCTAAACCGCGTAAGATAGATGAAGGGAGTAAAACGGGATCCACGCGTACGAAGTCGCAGGCGGCCGCTAGTGTATAATAAAGACATACTTTGCTACCTTCTGGTTAGGATTATTCCACTTTGTTCACCTGGTTGATATCACCTGGGTGTAGAAAGTGGAATTTTTTGTCTTCATTTCACCTGGGAACCATTTCACCCAGCCTTTGTTCACGTAGGAATTAATTCACCCAGGTGAACAAATCCGAAGACCTGGGTGAATGAATTTCTTGTTGAATAAAGGCGATTGATTTAGTCGACTCAATTTACCCAGAAAAAGAGTAACTTACATTGTATAAAAATATCAGACCTACGTTTACCTAAAATTTACGAAATTCATGTGATCAAATCTATGAGTAGGACTGCAATAAAATTGTCTACGTGTTCTGCTATGGGTACCTACTTTTCTTAATAAATTTAAAATACTTATTAAATATTAACAGGAAAGAGGGAATATACATATAAATATGAATAAGAATCATGATCTTTATTTCTTTTCAAGAATGAAGATGCAACTTCTGCACTTGCAACAAATTACTACGAAAAATCTCTGCTCGGCGATCAATCTTGCGACCGTGGCCTGTTTTAAATAGATTGAAGGCGAGTCATTTAGTCTCTCGGCTCTCCCGTTTTTCTATAGCACCCAATGGAACTGTGTAAACACTAGTAATATAAAATTCTTTTTTGATTTGGTTGGGGATATTATTTAATAGGCCAGGAAATCTATTAGGTGGGACATTTTTTAGGGATTCTGCCGGAGTGACATTCACGTAATATCACAAAGATAAAGACACAATAAGTTACTAATCAACTTGCTGAGTGTATGCTGAGAAGATGTGGAGGAAGAAACTCGAAATCGTTATCAACGGTGGGTCTTTCCCATAACCACACTTTCCCACCACTGCAACTCCTGTATAGCCAGGATCTACAGCTTGGCCTTCAATGCAACCTAACCAGTGAAGGTTGGGTAGTCCCGGCGAATAGTTAACTGTCTTGAACCCGCAACGAATTTAATCAGAAGAACATAGGAGGAGATCGTTGTCAAATTTTATGCAGAAAATATAACTTACAAGATATTATTAAATTACACTCAAGTTCACACCGATTCGAGTTTTGAGGTCTTTCAGGTGGGCACAGTAGGCCAATATTACAGAGTTTTGAAATTATCTACCTTCTGCAAGATCTGCATTACCTACCCACAAAAAAAAACGGGTTATTCCCGGCAATTGCTAAGGCAAGGTTTATAAATACGTTCTTAGATAAACGTATTATTTTTGGTTAAGTAGTTATTATATTATTTCTTTAAAAAACTTTAAATGCTTAATTGAGATAATGTTTGTGTTTTTCTACTTTTGTTGATGTTTTCGTTGGAATGCATCATAACAAAGTTGAAAAATAGAAACATGATGACTCTTCAATAACATCACCGAAGCAAATCGCTTGTTATAATGTTGATAATTGAACAAACTTTAATTCGCAACTGATTAAGATGCACGTGGGCTGGAAGTGTCAGCAGAAAGTGCAGAGTGCAGATGGGTGGGTGGTGGCCGGCGCGCCCGCGCGGGGTGCTCGGCGTCCCGGCGAGGCTGCGCGCCGAGCGCCCGCGCAGTACCGCGACCAGCCCCGCCCGGCACACACGATGCTCGCGCAACCGCACGCGCTCGCCGCCGCGCTCCTGTGCGCGCTGGCCGGCCAGATCGGCGCTGGCGCCAGCTTCCACTGCGCCATGCGCAGAGAAATCTCGCCCTGCACCTGCCGCAGAGAGGACAAGGGCACCGGCGCCATCCTAGTCGTCTGTCAGCGTATCAGCGCCTACGAAGACATCGCGAGAGCCCTCACCAACAAGTTCAGCCCGGAGACCAAGATTGGATTAGACATCTCCTACTCGAACCTACCAGACTTCACTGAACACAGCTTCCGAGAACTCGGCCTCTCTATCACGAGACTCAAACTGAATTTCGACAACTTAAGGCAAGTTTCTAAGCAGCTTAATACGTTGAAAACTGGATACGGACTTCACGCTTGTTCCTTGTGACGTATTCGTTATGAGTGTCGTCCAAACTACCCGCGTTCGGCGATGTATAAGCATTTTTCGTGTTAGTTTAGTTTATGAATACAGCGCTAGCGAACTGTGACCATAAAACATCTAAACAATGTGTAAGTTGAATGAGAAAACAACAAGTTTGTGATAAGAGGAGTACAACAGTGATGAGGATCGGGTCATTATCGAAAGAGTGGGCGGACCCTCACCAGGGCTACCGGCTTCCCATAGACAAAATTCGAAATACGCATATGCCAGAGTCTGTACATACAGTTCAAGCCTATCAGGCCGAGAGATGTTCACAAGCATTCCTCAGTAAATTTCCCTTCGGAATGGGTTTATTATTGAAATAATGCTTATCAGTGTCACATAGATACATTCAATGTAAGCGCAAACATAAGAAACGTGGACACGAGTCCACGTTCCCCTTATGTAGAGTTTTACATTGCTGTTTATCGTTGGCAAGTATAAATAAACTGCTAAATGATTTTTTATATTTAGGATCTGTCTCAGTAGGCAGCAATTGGGTTGCCCCTGACCTGTGAACTCGACCCTTATTGACCATTCAATTGATCTTTGAGGATTTTAAAGTCACCCTAATTGTTACTACGGAAAAATTGAATTATACAATTTCCCCAAACGCAAGATTTCATTTCCAAGAGTATCTAGGTGGAATATACCCAGTGATAGACCTGGGCTAAATACCTACGAGTATCATGAGATAATTGTATTTTTTTTTTATTATTGACTGGGGTTTAACAGTTCTTATGACGTAATATTGCATGGATAAGTCGTTTAAAAAATAGAGTCACGTAAAATAGAGTTAAATAGTAATATTTTGTTGATGAACTCGACAAAACGAGTGGGTATAGCATCTAGGAGACGAGGCGCAAAGCGTCGATAGTTTGCCCGGGTTATCGCAGGTCGCTTCTAAAGCAGTATAAAATTGAATGATATCATATTGGTCGTGTCGTATTCACTATATTTACCCATTAATGGTGTACTAACAAATTACAGAGGCCATTGTTTGTAATGAATAATATTTGTATTTGTGGACTTGTTGCTCGTAATTTATCTATCACTAATGTACTATCACTTTTACATCGGTATTCTTACATTTCAACTTTATTCAGGAGTGAGTGGAAGATAATCTTGAACTCTCATATTGGCGTAGTTATGAGATTGTTTTTAATGAGTGACGTGCGGGTTGTTGTGACCGTTAGCTTATTTGAAGTTAATTGTTGTGCAAACAGAATATTACTGTCTATCTCTCCAATGCAGCAACAGAACATTATTAACGTTTTCCTTTAAAAAGCGTGCTATGTGGAAAGTTTCATCACTATTGATGTGCCAGCAGAGGTTATCTTGTTCTCTCTCAGGGTCTTCCCAGCGATTTTCGTCCTTCTGCTGATAACCAGTTCAGACTTGATCATGTCAGAACAGTTGATTACGAGTAATATTTTAATGCATCGGTAGCATATTATAATGCTGTTACCTACATCTCTAGAATGATTCTTGCTATACTCTTTAATTGAAGTCTTAAAATTAATTGAAGTTATTCCCATTGACTATCAGCTACGCAACTCTGATTAAAAGGTGTAAGTTTTCTTCTCCTTCCGTGTTAGTGAGGGATGTATCGAGCGGACAAGTAATTTATTGTAGAGCCAAGTATATTATATTATTAGGAACCCAAAACCAGTAAATAAGTTTCTATAAGTTTACACCGATATTTCATTAATTTCGTAAGCTTCTTTTACATACTTTAGGTATATTCAATACTCAATATTTATTGCAAAACCATACCTACATATTAATACTTGTATTACGAGTGAGTTCACCACAATAGAGAATGTATTTATGGCAATAAGTTCGCCTTATGTACCAGTTTAAATTAAAATAAATAGGTAAATAGTCTAGAGAACCACGGGGTTTGATTCGAACCCACATTCCTTCATTTTTTTCCCCTTTTTTTTCCTTCTCTCTTTTTTTTTTCTCCCTTTGTCATCCATCCTATTATTATATATGTATATGTCTATGTATGTATTCATATGTTATTTATGTAATTATTTTTTTTTTCTAAATTCGTATTAATTCTATACCGCCTACTTTATTCTCAGTTTGGCCCTAAGGTTGACTGGCAGAAAATGCCGAAAGGCATTAAGTCCGCCTTATGTACACCGTTCTATGTGCATATAAGTTTTAAATAATAATAATAATTCCTCGGATTTCGATTCTATTCGGTCAGTCCGCAACCGACAGCCATTGAGCTATGTCGCTTCTACAAGCAAATTTTCTTAATCCCGTCACACTTTTCTCTAACCTTAACTCTTGAACAATCGTTTAAGTTTGCTGAAATAAATGACAATCACATTAGATCTTTACAGCAGTACTTATCAAAGTTTGCTCTACAGTTCTAGTATAGTCACAGAATAATAATAAGTACTACGTAAAGAAGTATTACTTCGCGAAGGTATTTAAAAAAATGTATGCTCAATGTCATTAACAATATGGTGTAATTTAGCTTGTCTCAAGAGTCAAGCAAGTTTGTCAGAAGTTTTGTTGACAAACGTCAGTGATCGGTACTGCGCCGAAGCTATAGGGCTGACTTCGGTAAAATGATGTGACGTGAGGTGCCAATCTGCAGAAAATGGCGGAGGAAATACATGATTTAGCATGAATTATCATGAATAATATTAACTACTTATTTACCTCTCAGTGTCTTGAGGCAACTTAAAAAAGTACATTCTGTGTTTTTATTATTATTTAGGCAGTTAAATACTGCACAGTATTTAGTACACCATTTTCTTTATTTTTTTCCATCATACACAAGAATACGCGTGCGTGAGTCAATGTTCGCTCGTATGTGAGGCCTTGTCGAATAGTACCCTTGTNTGTACTGGAAATATTGAAGTTTTGGATTGATCCAGTTTACTCTGTAATCTATTATTGATACCGTTTGATAGAGCTCGTGAAGCACTTTCAGGATCAGTAAACAGTTTTTCGATATCTACCCTAATATTAAAAGAGGAAAGATTTGATTGTTGGAATTGAATAGGCTCCGAAACTACTTTACCGATATGAGAATTTTTTTCACCTAAGAATCCTACATTACTTATCCCCGATGAACATAGGCTATATAGAATAGAATACTAGCGGCCTCCCGCGACTTCGTACGCGTGGATCCCGTATTACCCCCTTAGTTTCGTAAAATCCTTTCTTAGCGGATGCCTACGTCATAACATCTACCTGCATGCCAAATTTCAACCTGATCCGTCCATTGGTTTGAGCTGTGCGTTGATAGATCACTATGTCAGTTAGTCAGTCAGTCAGTCAGCTTTGAGTTATTTAAATTTACTGGCGGTACGAAGCTCGCCAGGTCAGCTAATCTTGTATAAGTAGTTTAGAATAATTGAGGGCAATCACTTATCGTTTCCACCCTGTAATAGAGTTCGACCTTACACCAATATACACGTCAAGCATCTACAAATCTATAGCAACCTACATACTATTCATACTCGTACTTATGTAAATAATGTCTAGAGGGCATGTGACGTCTAACGAAATATGAATCTAATTATTTTCGCAAGGTACCTTTCTACAGGGTGGAAAGCTCTATGAAACGGTATCAATAATAGGTTACAGAATAAATTGGATCTATCCGAAAATTCAATTTCCAGATTCCATACATTTGACCACACACTGGTCGTCGCTTGCCTCTCTAACTGACGTATCTGACATTTTTATCGAAACTGAGATATCTACACCATCTTAATCAATTTTGCAAGACGAATCGTTCTGTCTAATCGCCTGAAAATTTTGCTAAATGTCAGTTACGTCAGTTAGAGAGGCAAGCGACGAGGTGAGCCACATGGCACTCATCTCTTCACCATAACAAGTACAGCTTGACAGCAATGTTTTGCAAAATAATTTTAAATAAGGATGTAATTTACGAGTTTATTACTTAATAAAAAAAATCATCACTTCTAAACTTCTAATATTTTTCGAAAAGGCGTCCTTATGTATGGAGAGGGAAACAGCGATTTTTCGGATGGATCTAATTTTTTCTGTAACCTAATATTATTGATAGGTACCGATTTCTAGAGCTCGTGAAGCACTTTCAGAATCAGTAGGTAAACCTATCCAGTTTTTTGATATCTTGTATAGTTTAGAAATAAACGAGTGAGATCACTTATCGTTTCCACCCTGTATACAATATTACAATATCGCCCAGGCGCAAATGGCCGCCTTAAAATGGGGTCTGACTGGTCTAAAAACATTGTTTTCTTGGAAAAACTGTCTAAAAACCTTTATTGTATTAAAACATGAAAAGTGAGTAATGCCCGTTTTTACCATCAAACCCTAATTTTTAACAGGAACACTTAACAGGAAATTTGTTTTCATAGGGGTCACTTAAAAATTAGGAATCGATGGTGAAAACGGGCATAGGAGACGCCCAATTTTAAGGGCTTTCCACGATATAATACTTTAAGGTTCAGTCAAACCAATGCGATCACACGTGATCAGCCGGTTTGCAGCGATGGCGATCAATGCATTTAAGTCTGATCGCCATCGCTGCACGCCGGTTGGTTGATGATCGCGTGTGATCGCGTTGGTTTGACCGAACCTTTAGGCGGCCGCTTGCGCGTTTGCGAGATTGTTTAATCTTTCAGACGTTATGACGTCAAACTTTTCAGACATGACGTAATCTTTTGGATAGTTACTTTGCATATAAAATTACCGATAAATTTTATAGATTAAATGGGAATATGAGGTTTGGTTGATATTATTTACTATTCATATCTTTATTTGTTGAAGTTCTTGTATTTTTCGGCACAAGACAAGTAGATGCAAAAGGTACTTTTAAAAGCTTTGTAGACCAAGCAAAGCTTTAAATAAGTAATGACAAGTATTAGTTTTTAACATTTGATTA